GGTGAGCAGACGCCGGTCCCTGGTGTGGGGAGCCTGGAGTCCCTTTCCTGTTCTCCTTCTGTTTTGGGGAAGTCTGTTGTGAGCCTCCGGTTAGAGCTGTGCGTTTTCATTGTGTTTGTATTATTCCTTAATACGTGCCTTTCTTCCTCGTAGTGGCTGACCTGATCTGAGGAGTCTGTCGTGCTGACGGGGAGCTGGTGGCCGTCTGCCCGCCCTGTGCTCTGGTTGGGAAGTGCTCAGGGACGGCTTCTGGGTGACGGCGTTTGTGTAAACTCTCCGACAGCCCCCAGGACGAGCCCTTGGTGTTTTTTTCTTACCTACATGTAAATAATGCACTGCTCTGAGGTTTTTTCATTAAATGTTTAAGACTTTTACCATAAATCCTAATTTATGTTTCTTTCTTTCTTTCTTTCTTTATTTTAACATTTATTTAAGTAATCTCCACCCCCCAACATGGGGCTCAAACTCACGACCCTGAGATCAAGAGTCGCCTGCTCCACTGGCTGAACCGGCCAGGCGCCCCTGTGATTTATGTTTCTTAAGATGCCCCCAGCTTTTCTGGTAACATGCAGTGTGATCTGGGCAGCAGGTCAGGCCCTTCCCTCCCGTTCTCTAGTCTCTCGAATGGTAAACGGAAGTGGTAGAACTGCCCGCCTCTGCAGACTGCCCACGTTGGTCAGGATGATGGCGCCGTGCACTGTTCAAGGTCATCCCACGGTTCTGATTGAAGGTGTTTGCGTTCGTACGGTTTATGAAGGGGACTTCCGGTATGAACTCCGTCCCGGGGAGACCGTGCAGGGCCCAGAGGCAGTGCGTGCAGGCGCCTCCACGCTGGCAGCCGAGACTGACACCATAGCCCCGGCCGCGCGCAGCCACGCTGTCTCCAGCCAGGACGTGGCAGCCGTCCCTGGTACCGAACCCCGTTTCTTATGGGCGGGAGGGAGGGAGTTCAGAGGTGGAAGAGTGGAGACCACAGATACGTGTCCCCAGCTCGGCCTTGTGTTTGTGCACCAGGTGCCAAGGGACACGATCAGGAGCCCCAGGCGAGTAACTGGAAGGACTGGCCCCCAGCCGTAGTTGTCCTGGCCTCATAAGCACAGCATGTTAACGGTGGAGGAGGAAGGGGTACACAAGGGGAGGAGATGGCGGGAAACCAACCGGAAGGTAAGACAGTTGAGAAGCTGAACTTACGTGCCGTCTCGGAAAATAGGAATTAGAAAAACGCCGGTAGTCCCGAAAACCGTTCGACCTTGCAGGTGACTCGGATGTGACCCGTGGCTATCAAAGGTTTAATAACCACCCTAAGTGTTGCAAGGGTGTGGGAAATATTTATGTTGGTGGTGTCGATAGGTACAGACTTTCTGGAAAGCAGCCTGGCTCTGAGCAGTGGGAGCAGTTAAAATGGAGGGAGTACTTTTGCCTCAGGCAGTAGTCTGGAACATAGACTGCACAAGTGCATTCCCCACGGTGTACTACGGCACTGGGGAGGGAAGTGAGTGCTCGGCCCTGGGGGCGTCGTGGGCAAGCGAGGACACTTGCAAGCAGGTGGGGGTTGTTGGGAGGGCAGCTGGAGTCAGCCCAGACAGGTGTAGCTGAGTCTCTTGGCAGCTGAGCGTTGAGAGAAGCAAGGGGGCTGGTGTGCCCTGCTAGACACATGTTCAAAGCTATTCAACGTTCAGCATTGAATATTCAAATGCTCAGTAGCTATTTTTAGCAGTTAATAGCTAGACAGTGGAAATAACCCAAATATCCGTCCGCTGGGAAGTGTGTACATGCCCGCGATGGATGTTATCTGGCGATTCAGAGGATCATGTGCCGACACTTGCCACAGCCTGGGGGAGCTTGGAACGCCTGCTCGGGGGTGGGGGGGGGCCACCGGACACAGAAGGCCACGTGATTCCGCTTCTGTGAAATGGCCCAGACTGCTGACTTAGCTAGCAAGAAGGTGGTGGTTTTCCAGAGGCTGGGGGGGCGACCACGGAGTGCGTGCTCTGGGGCAGGGTTTCTTTGGCGGGGTCGAAAATGTTCAGGAGTGGGAGAGTGGGAAAGGTTGTGCAGCTCTGTGAATATAGTGAATGTCCCTGAACGGTACGTCTAGAAGGTGGTGAGTTGCATGTGAGTGGTGTATCTCAATTAAAGAGCAGGTGGGGAATCTGACACGTCCTCCTCTAAAATTATACTTAAACGGGGCAGCAAGCAAGGGGAAAGTCAGTTGCCTGAAGTCCCAAGTTAAAGGATTGTTAATTGGGTTGTAAAACAAGACACAGCTACACACTGCCTACGAGAAATCATCAAGGCGCAAATAAGCGAACAGTGAAACGGGGGGACACCTGTCACCATAGCACACTAACCAGACGGAGCCTGGAGCGGGCGTGTCCACTTGGGACAAAGGTTTTGCTGCCATGGATGTTACCAGGGGCGTAAGTGGAAAGGGAACTCGTCAGAAACGACGTGACAGTCCTCAGTATCCACCTCATAGCAGAGCTTCAGACAACAGCAAAAACCGGTAAAACTGCAAGGAGAGCTAGATGAACACAAAACCAGTCGCCTTCAGTAACCGTGCTAGGATGAAGGCACCGTGTCCTCATCAGGCCTGTTCAGCAGCAGACCGGGGCTCTGGCTGGTCAGTAAGGCAACCAAAGGAGATAAAAGGCATCTGGTTGGAAAGGAAAAAGTCCTTATGCACAGATGACGCGATCCTTCATGTAGAAAATCCTAAAATCTGCAACAAAGAACCAAGTAACTGAGTTTAGAAAACGTAGCCGTATACAAGGTTCAGTATTCAAAACCCACTTGCCCTCCTGCATGTCAGCAGTGAACACTTGAGAATGAAATCCTGGGGATCCATCAGACAGGAGATACGTAAGCTCTGTCCACCGAAAACCACAACACATCAGTGTGGGAAATGTCCGTGAACGAGAGAGGTGCCGTCCTATAGAGGAGTCTGCACCGTTCAGGTATCGGTCCTCCCCATGTTCTGCAGAGTCAGCTCAGCCCCTGTCAGAATACCGAGACTTGGGCAAAAATTGACAAGCTGATTCTAAAATATATATGGAAATACAAAGGACCTAGCGTAGGCAAAACAACTTTGCGAAAGCGAACAGAGCTGGAGGACTTCTACCACCTGATAGCAAAGAGTATGACAGAGTTACGGCAGGACCATGCAGCGTTGGCACCGAGGGGGACGCCACGGGGCCCTTGAACACAATACAAAGTCTAGAAAGAGACCACAGATTTATGGTGAGAGGGTTTTCGACAAACGTACTGAGGCAGTGTGGTGGGGAAAAGATGATGCTTTTAATGAAGGGGACAGAACAGTCGGATAGCCATATACAGGAAAAAAATCCTTGTTACTTCATACCATGTACAAAAAGTAGCTTGAGATAGAAGGCCTAAAATTACAAAACTTCTGGAAGAGAGCAGGAGAAAAGTCTGAGGGACCTTGAATGTGGCAAAGATTTCTTTACTAGGACATAAGAAGTAATTGTAAGTCGGACTCTTCAAAATTAAAACCTTTTATTCTTCAGCAGGCATCGTTGTGAAAGTAGGAAGGCAAACCACAGCCTGGGAGAAAGAATTCCGAAGCACAAACCTGACGGAGGACGTACAGCAGAGCACGTGGGGGCTGTTACTGGGTAGGGGGGCCCAGGTCCTACTCTGTGGAGCCCAGATCTGTGTCACATTGGATGGCAAGAGGGACTTCGCAGACAGATGCGATTAAGACGTAGAGACGAGATGGTGCCGGATTATCCAGGTGGACCCAAACTAATCACACGAGCTCTTGAAACTCCGTCATCTTCTCGGCTTTGGTTGGGCAGAGTGGTCTGGACCTGGCAGCGCCGGAGCCAAGATGAGGAGCAGCCTCCAGATGCCGCGAGGGACGTGTGGCTCACGGCGGGCAGGAGCCAGACCCCAGACCTGCACACCCGTGCACGGAACCAGATTCTGCCCCAGGGCCTGCGGGAAGGAAGCAGCCGCGCTGCCCCTCGACCAGCCCGCGAGAGCCGGGCCACCCTCCCGGCCACCAGCACTGCGACGAGGTGAATCTGCTGTTTCCAGCCACTGACCGTGTAGTCATTTGTTAGTGATGGAAAACCTACCGTATCTCTAATCCATGTGTAATGTAGTGTACACCCGTAGCAGGCCAGTGGTCCACATTAGAAAAGGGCCGGAGATTTGAACAGACACTTCCCCAGAGAAGATTTACGGGTGATGGACGGATCTAAGTCTGTGGAAAGATGCTGGGCGTTGTTTGTCTGTAGGGACGGGCGCGGGGACCGGAGCGCCGCTCTCGCCAGGACGGCCGAAGGTGAGCCGGTGGGGGTCGGCGAGCGCCTGGGGCAGCGGCCGCCCTCACTGCTGCGGGGAACGCAGACCGGCGCAAGCACGTCGGAGAGCAGTTTGGCAGCTTCTAGAACAGGAATCACACCACCCCCACACGACCTGACCATGTCACCCTGGCGTGTGCTCAAGAGAAACGAAGACCCGTTTGTCTTCATCAGCTCAATGCAGCTTTATCCACACTGGCCAAAAATCGAAACCAGCCCCGAGGCCCACTGAACAAACTGTGGCGTATCCACACGGAGGGAAGTCTTTGGTAGCGAAGCAGGGACGTACAGCGTGGGCGAGTCTCAGAGGAATCAGGGTGAGTGACAACGGACATGCCAGATGCTTCCATTTCCATAAACTTCTGGAAAACACACTGCAGACCAGTGGTTGCCTGGGATGGGGCTTGGGGGCCCATCTCCCACCCACACTATGCCTGGACTCCAGGCCCAGTGGGACGTTCTCCGGTCACCTGAGAGGTGCCTGAAGGTGGCACGGGGCTGTGCCGTCAGGGCACACAGTGACATGCGTCACCCCCCGGAGGGGCCCGTTGCATTCCCCGCCCCCCCCCCCCGGAGCATCCAGGGGCCCGTTGAGGATGGAGGGGCTGCCTCCATGTCATGGCCCTTAGACACATCCTTTCCGCCCTGAATCCCAGAAGGACCAGCAGAAGCTTGATTGCAGTGCCCCTTTTATTAAAAATAATTGCACTTAAGATCAAGGGTTTCCCTGGGTCCCGTGACTCCTCCGGAGTTCCCCGGGCCCGCTCTCATGGGACGGGAGGGCAGCCCCACCTGCTGCCGGGGGCGTTGCCCAGAAAGCAGCCTGCGGTGGCCAGAGCAGCAGCAGGGCCGCCCGTGGCGCGACCTCGGGGTGCAGGCACGGCAGCCTCCTCCCGAGCACACCTCCGCTGTCTCAGACAGGCAGCTGGTGGCGGACGACATCACACACACACCAGTGACAAGCTTCAGAGAGGTACACCTTCCAGAACAGCCTTGCACACGCAAGGCAACCCTTGGGCCACAGGCCGTGGGATCCCCTGGTCCCAGGAGGTAGACGCATATGCAGATCTGGGTATTTGAGGGAGGTCAGCGCCATGAGACACGGGGCACGGGCTTCTGCCCGAGGCCCACCCGTCACATCCTGACCAAGGGTTCACAGGTGCTGGGGCCACGGTGAGATCCGTCTCCTCCTGTAAAGGATCAACGCGCCACTGGCCCCGGGTTACGACCAACTGATGAGAAACTGCTCTCCCATCGTCAGTGAGACAGGGATGTCCAGGGTCTGGGAGAAAAATAAAAAATAAAAATCGACCACCACACAGTTGCCATCAGAGGGGAGGCCCCGAGCGCCCGGCAGACAGGAGCCTGGGCTTCGGTGCGTGGTGCGCTCGGGGCCGGCCCCAGCCCCGGAGGCTTCTCGCTCTCTGCCTCCCCGGCTGAGTCCGGAGGATGAGCGTCCTCTGCATTGGCAGCCTCGGCTTTGGAAGCAGGCTGCCATTTAAACACGGCCCACGAGTCACCGTCCATGTAGACACAGGCAGAGGAAAGATCCAGGGTGCACGAGGCCTGTCCTTCCCCTCCCTCCCTCACCCTTGTAAGACCCGGCTCAGCTGGTACCAGGTCCCCAAGGTCCTTGGCACCTCCCGCCCCCTCGGCCATCCTGGGCGACAAGCCCTCTGGCCCCATCTGTGGGCCCTCTTGCCTTGGTGTCAGGGCTGTAGGTGAAGTTGGAGACAGGGACGCCATTGGAGAGGACCTGGCTGGGGGCCACGGCCACCCCCAGGATGGTCACCTTCCTCAGCTGCAGGCTGGAGCCCTCGCTAGTCACACGCACCAACTCGTTCACGATGGTGTTCTGGCGGAATGGAGAGACAGAAGCGAGGTGTCAGAGGACGGCCCGGGAAGCCCTGCCGGTCGGGGTCGGGGGGTCTGGGCAGCAGTCGGCACCGCGCCCCTGGGCCAACCCTCAGGACGCCGGCAGGTGCATGAGGACTGGGTCAGGGCAGCTGGCCCACAGGCCCTGCTTCCTTCACAAGGCTGGCCTGGGCACAGGAGGCCCCCACGGCGCCCACCAGCTTGGGCAGGTCCTGGGACTCACATTTCTGGCCAGGAAGATGACCTTCGTGTAGTCCCCGCGCTCCAGCACCCCCAGGCTCTCCCCGTCATCCCAGAATAGCTCCCCTTGGGCCTCCCCGTTTGCGGTCAGGGCTGCGAGCAGGGCCATGGGCTGCTTCCGGGACTCCGTGGTTGTGAGGCCAGGGCCCTGGCAAAGTGGGTGGCACATGTCACCGTCTCAGGCCTGGCAGAGGCCTCCACCATCAGGACAGGAGGGACACTGGGCTGGGACAGCTCCATGCTGCAAGAAAGCAGGATCCACAGGACAGCCTACAGCGACGGCTGGGGGGGGCCTGTACTGACCACTCTGGCCAACGCAGACACCCTGGAGGGTGCGAGAGGCCACGGAGGTTTGCAGGCTGCTTCCCAAGAAGAGCGCACGAAGCGGGCCTCCCCTCTGCCTGGCACAGCCAGTCAGTTCATCTTCAACCCTCAGACACTGTGCTCTGCCTGAGGTTTGGTTGGGGATGGACCCTCTCCTGAAGGGGCAGCATGGGGTCCTGGCAGCGCCAGAGCTGGACAGATCGACTCAGGCGCCCCGCCCGGGTACCTGCAGGGGGATGATGTGCCCAGCCCGGAGGTGGAGGTTGATGGTGTCCATTGGGGCCGGCAGGGTCACCCACTGCCCCTTGCTGTGGATGGCAGACGTGAGGGGAGCCCGAGGTGGAGGTGGGAGGCTGCCGAAGGCCTCTCCTAGCACCTGCAGGGACACGGCATGTCACCAAGAGTCGGGGCAGTGCCAAAGCCCCTGCGCTGTCACTGGGAGCCTCCAGCTCCATGCAGGGCCCTGGGGGTCGGGGGGAGGCAGAGACCCTGACCCAGGCTTGGGGCGGGGGCAGAATTCTGGAGTGGGAGAACTGTAATCCAGGGGAGTTACCCACTCGAGCCTCAGTCTCCTCATCTGGAAAATGGGTCACTGCACAGCCTGGGTGGGAAGATGCATGGGGAGCCCTGGGCGAGGGCCCTCATGCACCCGGGTCTCCAGAAACGTGCTCCCTTCCGCCATGTGGCCCACCCCCGCAGGGCCTGGAGGAGGGACACCTTTGGTCCCCGGGGACTCACCGTCTGCAGGTTGTACCACGTGCCAGGGGGGAAGTAGCCAGTCACTTGGACCTTCCCAGCCTCAAGCACGGGGGTAATGAGCAGAGCCGCCCCCCACAGGAGCTGGTGGTCCACCGTCCAGGTGTGGGGGTCCTCAGGGAACCTTCAAACAGGAGGGGCGGGCGCCTGGGCCTGGTGACCTCTGAGGTCAGTGTGTTCAGGGGGCCCTCAGGGAAGCGCAAGGAGCCAGAGGACACTGGGAGGGCCACGGCGAGGCGGGTTCCCGCCGCTGGAGCTCGGCGTGGGCAGTGGGCAGGCCCTCTCCCCAGCCACACACTCCGGGCAGGGCGCCGTCCGTGGCTCCCGTGTGGCAAACTCTCCCTGACTGCTGGTCTGCTGCTGGCTAGTCCGGGTCCTACCACCAGTCTGCGTCTTTCGTGTGAGTCTGGGACACTGACCACCCTAGTTTGTTTGCCTTTATAATTCTGCACTGAGGGAAGTCGTAATACTCTGTTTCTGTTCAGAGGAGTATAACTTTTTTCCTAAATTCAACCCCCTCCCCCTTGCCTTTTGCTTCTGAGGCTTAGAAAGCCCTCTCCTGCCAGAGCACTGAGGGCCATTTGCTTCTGTGTCCCGTGGAACTTTCTAGAGCTTAGGTTTTAATGGTCTAAGTATGTAATCCACCTGGAACTTAGGTTTGCACAGCGCGAGGGGAAAAATGGATTTTTGCAGAGAGCTAACAGATTTGCACTATGTGGGACTCCTCTGATCCACTGACTGGACATGACATTTTATTGCAGGGCACCTGTTGACGTATCTGAGTCCTACCTGGGGCACATCAGTTGGGTTTCTTCTGAGGTCCTTTTTCCACCCGTAAGCCAGCCCTGTGATGGTTTTATAACTCGCTTTACCACCTGGCTGGCCTGCTCTGTACTTGGTGTCCTTCACCCTGGGTTTTCAGGTACCTGGAATGTCCCCAGCCCTGAGCTGCGATCTCACGGGTGGGAAGTGGGGGTGTAAAGGGCCTCCCTCAGCTGCACTGGCCCCCTCATTCTGGGGACGACTCCCCCCCACCCCCTGCAGCAGGATGGGGCCGCCCCGGTGCCACCAGGCTGGTGGCCAGCCCGTGGGCCCTTGCTCCCCGAGCCCGGGCACTCACTCCAGGAAGAGGGGCCGGGCCACGGTCTCGCCCAGGACGTGGGCCCGGTGGAACAGCAAGTACAGGTAGGGCAGCAAGGCGTAGCGCAGGGCGAGGGCCTTCCGCATGGCTTCTTGCGCCGTCTCGCTGAACCTGTATGGCTCCTGAGGCTGCAGCGGGGGAGAGGGGGAGGGGGCAGCGGGGCGAAGGTGGGAGCACCTGGCCCTTGGGCCACGAGGTCTCCGCCTCTGCCCCGGGAGACCCGGCCTGCTGGCACGTACACCAAGTCGCGCTGCTGCGCCCGCGGAGGGACCCCCAGGGCAGGCCCCCCACTGGCTCCCCCCAGCCCCTACCAGGCTGTTGAGGTCGTTGTGATTCCGCATGAACGGGTAGAAGGCCCCCAGCTGGGTCCAGCGCACACACAGCTCCTCCGAGGTGCTGCCCAGGAAGCCACAGATGTCGGCCCCGACCAGCGGCACCCCCAGCAGGTTGAACAGCAGGATTTCTGGGAGGGCAGAGTCAGACTGGGGCTCAGCTACCCCCCCGACGGTCAGCACCGTGCTGGCCCCGGCGTCTTCCACCCGTGGTCAGCAGAAAGACCTGCCTCGCAGACCGCCTTCCGACACCCGGGGTGGGCAGAGCAGAACAGCCCGTTAGGGTTGACATGTGTCCCCCCAAAAGGGATGTTCGAGTCCTAACCGCCTGTGCTTATGAAGTGACCTTATTTGGAAAGAGGGTCTTTGCAGATGCAATTCAGCTGAGGTCACTGGAGGGGATCCTGACCCAGTATGCCCGGTGGCCGCGTAAGAGGAAGCCCAGACCGTGACGACACACGTGGGGGAGAAGGCCGAGCCAAGACGGAGGCAGGGACTGGAGGGACAGCCCCACACTAAGGACACCGAGGGCTGCCGGCCACTCCCAGAAGCTGGGAGACTCGAGGAAAGGCGCCCCCCTCTGACACCGCGAGTCCGACTGCGAGCCTCCAGGGCTGGGAGAGACCACGCTTCTGTTGCCGTGAGCACCCAGGGTGAGCCGGAGCATGCGGCAGGGAGGTAGCGAGCCCCGGAGCCGCTGAAGGTCCCGGCGCCACCCCACTGCTGCTCAGCAGGACCAGGCTGTGCTGGGCCCTCCCTCTCCTCAGGGTCCTCAGGGACCAGCAGCCGACGGGCAGGACCCGACCCAGCCTAGGGCCGTGGGGGACCCTTGCCCGGCTTGCAACAGGTCCCGGGACCTGCATGACCTCTGCCACGGGATGATCAGTGCACGCCAGAGCTTCAGCCCGAGACCCCGAGGTGGGCGCAGAGCTGGGAACCTAGCTCTCGAGGGGGCTTCAGAGGCTGGCCTGCAGGGGCCTGGGCCCTAGTGGGCCGCACCGCCCCCCCCAACGGTGAAATCAGAGCCAGTGGCATCTGTGGGCAGAGCTGGACAGCGGCTTCTGGAAGGAGGAATGGTTCCTCCCAGAGCTCGCCCAGGGCTTCCCCATGGCCCGAGGGTCTGCAGATGCATCCCACACAGCAGCAGGCCTGGGGCTACCAGAGAGCTTCCAGGCTGGGGGTCACCCAGGGAGGTCACCCCAGCCCCTTCCCCAGAGCTCCTGAGCCCTCAGCAGCATGAGAGCTCCTGAGAACTGAAGTCACGCTCCTCTGTGCAGGGGGGGGGTGCACAGCACCTGCGGGCTGGGGCAGGACGCAGCCACCGGGAGGGACATCATGAGAGGACACAATGTGATGGCTGTGCAGACAGCGGCCGGGCCGAACCGGAGATGAGGGTGCCTGGGAACTCCAGCACCGCCCGCCGAGTGGCAGAGCGCCCCCCGTGAGCTGACCCACACCGGAGAGCCCAGCCGCCCGGGGCCCCCTGGGAGCCCGCAGCAGCGTCTCTGAGCCGAGCCGAGGCCGGCACTTGGTCTGGGCCCCGCTCCCCTCCGAGCGGCCGCTCCTGACGGGCTCTCACCTGGCACGGAGTACGAGAGCTGCTCCCAGCTGCTCCACACATCCCCCGTCCAGTGGCCGGCGTACCGGCCGTGGCCGGCGAAGGTCGAGCGGGAGATCACAAAGGGGCGCGTCCCCCGAGCCCTCACGAGGGCCCTGCGCAGAGTGGGGAGACAGGGCAGTGCAGAGCGGGGCTGCCCGGGAGCCCCTCAGGGGCCCCGCACCGAACTGGGGGTGCAGCAGGGAGGCAGAGCGGGGAGTGAGCAGCCCAGAGGGCCAAGGCCAGGAGGAGCGAGGGGGGCTCCGCCCGAGCCGCCAGGCCACCCTGCGAGGC